TTAGACTAGTTCTACGTCTCCCGTTGCGTAGAGTATTGATTTAATGTAATTACTACATAGATGTCTTCTTTTTTATAAGTAAGCGTTTAACTGTCTACAGTCACGTGACAGAGAGTACGTGCTTTCAGCTTTGCTCAAACTAAATGTGGTTATGTTGAAAACGAGGTCCGCTCGAGAAAAGACATTCCGAATATCCTGTTTTGTTAAGCAGTAGCTACATAGTATTTCCACAATAAAAGTTACAGATTTTCTACAGCTTAATGCTCACTATGAACATAACTAGGTGATCCATGCAAAGATTTTTCATTAGAAAAGTTTAACTGCTTTATACACGATGTCTCCATGTATGTGCAATACAGAGCATGTGTGTTCATGCCAAAGTTGTTGTGTATATATTTATGATTATATCTATTTATGTACACTATCTGTAGCACTGCACTACAGGGTGCCTGTCTGTTGGACCAAGATTGGCTTTCTGTTCCCAACAAGGAAGATTACATTTAGATGTTAGGTGAGTGGAGATAAACCTTTTGGTCTCTCAGTGCCAAAATCTGAACAGAGATTATTCTGGAGAGTAAAGGTCAAACAGCCAAGAGGGCAACACTGGCTAAAATGTGGGACATAGGCACCCACCTCTGCTAAAAGCATTTTGGAGTGGGTTTGAACAGACTTCTTTCTCCTTTCAGGACTTCCAATCTGCCTTATATTACTCTGACCCGAGCATCCTCCTCTGTCACACCCCTGCCCCTGCATGTATATATGAATCCATGAATTGTCTCTGTGGTCACTCTCAGTAACTCTGCCCCCTACAATTCTGACTTTTTGTTAGTGGCACTGTCTCCAAACCAAAGTTATAGCATTTCTCATTAGCATCTTGTAAATCTTCTCTTTCTGCTCTTGCTGCTATCCTACTGTTACAAATCACCCCTAAAACTTGTCTCCATCCTGCCATCTCTATGTGCTCTCTTCTTCACCTCTCTTATGCAATGTTTGTTGTTTAGAATGGTTGACCCCATCTATTTACACAGGTCCACCTTCACTACCCCTGCTCCTTGCAGCTTCACTTTCACTCCACCTGTCTACTTCTCATTCACACACATACTCTCTCTTCTTCTACTGACTTTCATTCCTTTGCATACTTCTACTTCTCCAGGCTCTCTTCCATTTGTTTCCTACTGAAATTGTCTTCCTCTATGAAGAACAGATGTATTGAACTTGCCTAATAATAATGAAAAGGTACATTACTTAAGTTATGTGAAATTTTTCTCTTCTGTTTACAGCTCACCACATCTCTGCTGTTTGTGGAGCCTGATGATGGGTTTCTGGCAGCCTCTGACTAATCTTAGAGATTATGTGTCACAGAATCCTCCAGGGACTACATTTTTCCTGTGTTTGCTAACTCTGGCTATTTCATTCATCTGCCTTAGTTTTTACAGCAACACTCACACTCTTCCTAACCCTGACATAACAAAGGTGAGGAGTGATTTAAACTATAGCAATTTTGGGTTTTTGCTCTTTTCTGTTATCTATATATTAGAGTAGTGGATGCACAATAAACATGGCTGAAGTTTCAAATATTTACGTGCAATCAACCTGTGTCAAAACCTAGGTTGCAGACTGCTCTAAGCTCTCTGTATCAATTTTTTTCTACTCTTGGTTCTTTTTGAAGCTCAAATATTCTATACAGAGGAGCAATTAATCAGATTAATCAGAAGAAATGGCAGCACAGTGGCACAGTGGTTAGCACTGTTGCCGCACAGCAAGAAGGTCCTGAGTTCAATTCCACCATCAGGCCGGGGTCTTTCTGTGTGGAGTTTGCATGTTCTCCCCGTGTTTGCGTGGGTTCCCTCCGGGTACTCCGGCTTCCTCCCACCGTCCAAAGACATGCAGCTTGTGGGGATAATTAATTGGATAATCCAAATTGTCACTAGGTGTGAATGAATGTGAGTGCGAATGGTTGTCTGTCCCTGTGTGTTGGCCCTGCGACAGACTGGCGACCTGTCTAGGGTGTACCCTGCCTCTCGCCCTGTGACAGCTGGGATAGGCTCCAGCGCCCCCCGCGACCCTGAAAAGGATAAGCGGAAGCGAATGGATGGATGGAATCAGAAGAAATGTACCTTAAAGATAGGGGAGTTAAAATGACTGTGTTCAGATTGAGAATGAATCAAGGCCTGATGTCAGACAAATATGGATTTTTTTTTAGAGCAGTGACTCATGCAAGGAAACTTTTTAGATCAGTCCAAAGATAACAATATGGAGCTGGGAATGAGTATAGTAGGTTTCCTTAGTAAACTGAGCTAATTTTCCTCCATGCCTTCTCTAAATAGATAATTGGTGCTGGTGTGCATAGGAAATATGATGCTGTGCAGGCTGTGACTGAATATACCCACACATTCTGTGCCCTGATTGTATCTGTGTGTAATTTGTGCACTTTACTATTCTCATAGGACTGGAACCGTGTGTTGTTCTCCTTATCAACATTCCACCTATGTGTGAAAGCAAATGAGCTTAATTCCTCAGTCCAATCACCTCTTATCAAGCAGGAAGAGGACAGAAAGACCTCAGTTAACTCAGCAAAGAGTCCTTCTTCTGTCACCCATTTACATCTCAAGGTTCCTCTTGCTCTTATGACTTCCAGCTCTCAGAGTGTCTCGCTGAGAGATCTCAGTCTACATACAACCTTGAGAGCCAGTCAGCTGCTTCTTGGAGGTTAGTTTTGCCATGGAGCGCTATGGGTGTGATATTATGTGAAAGTTTTTATCACCTTACATTCTGATTGTAATTTTTTACTCCCCAGGCAATGAAAATGTTAATTTGACACTAGAGTTTCTATCTGACAATGGTAGCTACACCTGCCTCACTATAAGTGCCCCAAGTGACCTCCTGCCAACAAGTGTGTAAGTTTATCATGTTCTGTAAAGAACATGTTTCTTAACTTAATTACTTTGTAACTACGACTTTTCCTTCCTAAAAATTCAGAAAACTCATAAATGTTATGTACTTTAATAAAGTCGTCCTCCAGAGTGCCCTGAGTCAGAGAAAAATATTTCATCCTTCTATGTGGAGGCTAGTAACCAGCTGCCTACAGCATCACCAACCTGCTACAGTCTGAACTTCAAGGATGATACCACTCTTACAGTCATGTTAACACAGGTACGGTGTGTTGCACTTGAACAGCATAGCTGATTTAGCCACAATTCAGAGATTTGTTTTGTACCCTCATTTATTTCCTACTTCTAAAGGAGGAACAGAGTGTGGCAGTGCAACATCTGTTGGAATTCAGTGCGTGTCTCCTTGGAGTTTGTTTGATGCTCTGTATAGCTGCTTGTCAACCACATGCACTAAAACGCCGCAACCAATGGAATGGACTGAACCAACAAAGTGTAAGTTGTGATCGTTCGGCTTTTAGAACCTTTTTACTGAGAAATCCATACAGATTATTTAACCTAACTTTGCTACTTTACTTTATTTACAGGAACCCTTAATAGACAGCTGAGCTATTAAATCAGTTGATGGTTGGAAAGAGAGGGCTACGCCTAACTACAGCCTACAGAAGAAGCTGGTTTGTTGTTGGAGTACTACTAACTGTGAAAATATTTGTATAATGCTGCTTTGGAGAAAGCTCTCCTAAATTCATACTTGGGACTAAAGTCAGGGTACAGCAACCTCTCTTGGAATAGTTTGAACCCATTTATCTGTCTCTCACAAGTTTTGCTACATTACAAATGTGCAATATGTAAAATCATTTTGAGAAACATGGCCATGGTAGAAAATGAGTTATAATTCATTATTTATGATGTGCTTTTCAAAATAAAAGACAAAAATGTTATGATAAGGCAGTGATGAAGACATTGCTCAAGACTGAAGAAAATGGATGAAATGTGGGTTAAAATTGCTATTATATTTGCCTTATATTTGTTTAATAACAAAGTATTAACAGATCATTGGGCACTGTAAAGAGTGTGTGTGTAGAAATTAGCAGTGCTATGAACTGTTTTTCTACAGGATTTTACGCTTCTCAGCAACAAATGACTGCAGTCATGCTGTTTCAAACATGTTTCTTTGCTGTAGAAGAAATAGCTTTACTTGGGCTGTTTTGTTGACTAATGTGATTCATTTGTCAGTGTCAAACACAGGTATTACAGTAAGCACTGTATTGTACTGTAACTGTAATGTCAATAAAGGCTAAAGCCAAGCTAAGGGGAATGTGAAGGTGAGTGACATCAGTTTTTAGTGACATTTAAAACTTCAAATACATTTTGCTTGTGGAATTATTTTTAAGCATCATTTAAATATCTTTCTATCCACCTGAAGGTTTTGGATTTACCACCACTAAGGTTTAATTTTAGGTTTATGTGAGTGCCATATTTCTCTCTGATATAAGGCCTCTTGAAACAGAAATTGAAGAGGAAATTATTTTTTTCTTTAATTTCATTCAATGTTTCCTTAAGTGTCTGAAAGAAAGGACGTATAAGTATTTTGTAAAATTAGTAATTCAATTGTGACACACTGGAGCCCTGTAACAGACTGGCGACCTGTCCAGGGTGTACCCCGCCTCTCGCCCTATGACAGCTGGGATAGGCTCCAGCACCCCCCGCGACCCTGAAAAGGATAAGCGGAAGCGAATGGATGGATGGATGGATAGTAATTCAATATTGTCTGTAGAAGAATTATTATCAAATAATCATAATAATGTTTCATCAGCATTTCAACTGCTGTAGCTAAAATAAAATAAAAATTAGGGTTAAGGTGAATTGTCAGTGTGTTTTTGTTTTTATTTTAACTGTGAGCATACTTTTGATTTTATGGCCCCAAAAGTATAGATTATGAGCTTAACGCAATGAACTTCTGAAGGTCTCCCTAGGCGCCAGCAGACTGGTGCACCGGTATGTTCTTTTTTTACGTAACGAGATGTCCTCCAATCATGGTTTAGAATCATAACACGGTGCCTTCCTATTGTCCACAGCTATTGGGTGATTATCGAAAAATAGAGGCGGGATTAGCGCAGATCAGGGGAAACTAGAGAACCAACCATCGACGTTGATGGTAGTTGGATTCTTCGCGGCCTCGGGGATTGCTTTATGTCAAGGAAAACAAAACGTAACGTTATGAAGTATTTGGACTAACTATATTAGCGTGCAAAGTCGAGGTCACCTGAAAACGTCTGGCAGAAAGGAATTGATACGGCTAACGTTAGCTTCATCTTCCCACAGTAAAGCTAGCTAGCTGCCGTTTCCTCATAAACATTCCTGCGCTAATGTCGGCTAGCTGCTAATGTTAGCATGCCGTTAATAACAGTTGCAGCAAAACGTCTGAACTGTTGATGTCATGTTCTTAACCAAACATGACTTAGTCATATTTTACAGTAACCCAGCGAGGCAAGGGTCTGACTTCTTCTCGAACGAATGCACGTTAATGTCTTCGTTGCTCAAGCCGTGCCTAAAGACGCTCTTTTCGCCTAATCATAACATTTTGTTGTTCCTCAGCAGGCCTCCCACGTGTTACTTGGTGGTACCTTCACCTGCGGGGTGACTTGTAATTACGCAGGAGTGTCTCCTCTGACTTGTTCTAAGGTATAAACATTAGCTAATGTCATGTAATTTCTGTTATGTCAGTGAATTGATTGAAGATACACGCAGGCAAATCAACAGTATTTTTGATCTTTTCTTTCCTGTTTTAGAATGAAAGCTCTGAACTAGGGCTTGGTCAGTCAGCAAGAAGACGTGGAGGTCACCAGGAAGTACTTAGTTAACAATCGTGAGTGACCATGGCCTACTCTAGCTACAGCAACCTGAGCAGGGCTCAGCTCACCTTTGAATATCTGCACACAAATTCGTAAGTACCAACTTTTTGGGAATTAATTTGTCCGTAAGAACTTCACAATACACAGAGTTACAACTAGTTAGCCTTAAAGATAGAACTTTAGCAACCACCTACACACAATACAATGCACCACTTCACCTCACCTACTTATTTTTGCAAGATGCCCAACAATGTTGTTGAGTAGAAAATAAGATATAGTCCAGAAAGACGAGTAGAGCACGTTTCCCTCATTTTGCTACATGTCATTTTATATTTAAAACAACTTTACCTTCCATGAGTAATACTTTCCATTCTGTCTGTATGCATTCACAATTCAAAACCTATGCTGGTGTTTATTTTAATAGCTGATGCTGCTACCATTCTTTTACTCTTTTTGTTTTTGCTCTTTGTTGTTATGCATTTTCTTTATTGTCACAAGGGGGGAAAATTGTTTGCCAGTTTGCCACATCAACGTTATAACAAATTTGTTAGATATAATCAGCTATTTTTATTTTTCTGAACTTGATAGTGTTTTTGTGTATAATATGTGGAATTGACAGTGTAGGCTCAGAACAGAGTATAGACACGTCACAAATTTTGCAATGAAGCTAAATGTGCTTGCTTCAGTTATTTGTCAAAAAAATCATGTGATATTGGCTGCTTGCAGACATTTATCACTCAGTTTGATCAGTAATGACTCAGGAAAAAGAAGACAAGTTTGGTATATGCTCCTGTGGTATGTAATGTTCAATGTATATGTGGCTTATATTTAAAGTAGGTCGCAGCACCCTTTTGTTGTTCTTTTTGTTATAATGATAATTCATTTTAAGTGTTTAGCTGTCAGGTGAACTGTGGATAGTCAGTCCTTGAAGCTGAGCAGATAGTTTTACAGTTAACCAGGAAATGCATGCTTAACTGATAGTTCTTCATTTTATGCTGACACGTGTCAGCAGACTTGAGAAATAACAGTTTTTATAACAGAATAATAATTGTATGTTGGCTATCTGTGGAGTTCAGATGCTGTCACCAAGCATCTCCCATGTGTCCTTGTTCTCTAATGAGCTTCCCTTGTCAGTTTTTACTCTATTAATGGAATATTTGGTCTAACTCTTAGGACAACACATGAGTTCTTATTTGGAGCCTTGGCAGAACTTGTGGACAATTCAAGGTACCTGTTATGATTCACAGCACAATTTTTAAATAAATTATGGAGTATGGGAAAACTTGCATTAACCTGATATCATATAATCTAGAAAATCTCATATGTTTTTTCTTTCACAGAGATGCTAATGCCACACGTATAGACATCTACACAGGTAGACCTCAGAGTAAAATATCCAATTTCATATACTGAAACTTATCCAGTGAGTCATTGTTTTTCATATCTGTCTTTTGACTTCCTGCTTGTGTGACAGAAAAAAAAACAGAGCTGAGGGGTGGCTACATGCTTTGTTTTCTGGATGATGGTACTGGGATGGACCCAAGTAAGTGTGACTAAATGATCAAAGAGCAAATTTAAAGCAAGGTTATTGTTGTTTTTGTAGGGCCATGGTTACATACTGTGTATAATTTGTGTCCTTAAACTTTTTTCTTAGGTGAGACAACCCATGTGATTCAGTTTGGAAAGTCAAACAAACGGTCTCCTGAGTCCACTCAGATTGGCCAGTATGGAAATGGACTGAAATCGTGAGTTGTTTTTCCAGTTCCTGTCTGGTATTGATCACGAAGTTGGTACACCAGCATTTCCATATTTACGAAGTTTGCGTGTTTCCACAGGGGCTCTATGCGCATCGGAAAAGACTTTATCTTGTTCACAAAAAAGAACAACACGCTGACTTGCCTCTTCCTGTCGAGGACTTTCCATGAAGAGGAGGGTCTGGATGAGGTCAGTGGCAGTCATGAAACGCTTAGAGACGATTTTTGTTAGATATGCTTTAGCCACTCACCACACATTCATTTCAAAGTGTACTTTGAATATGTGTCTAGATACTCACACCTGTGTGTTCATGCTTGTGTGTGTGCTTTCAGTCTGTGTGAACAGTACTCCGTGCTCTCTGCTCAGTTCAGAAACATGTTGAAATTTTACAGCAGCCTACTTGAATAATGCTGTAAATCCCTGGACAAATACAAAGAATGGAACAAAATCTGACAGCACTGCAAAATGCAAATTGTTTAATATTAAAATTTAGATAACTTCTAAATAAATGTAAAACACCAAAGGTTATCACAGTCATATCAACAATCTTATATCTTATAGCATAAATCAAGACCTAATGCAGACCTTCTCAAAGTGTGGTGCCCACCCCCCAGGGGGGGCGCGGTATGAAAAGGGGGAAAAAAAACCCGAAACGCTTGGACACTGCTAGCATGGGGCGCCCACACAAACGCAAAGCAGGAGATTAAGCATAGCTGAATATGTTTCCAAACCAACTTCCTTCCAAGCCAAAAACTAGAAAATATGGTGAAGCATATCTTCCCTTTGGTTTCACCTGCACAAGTGCCAAGGTAGTTCTCCCCTGCAGAATTGGTTTTCCCTTCGTCAGGAGCACGCGCTGGGCTGTTCAAATCACGGACAAACAACATCCCACATTCTTGATTTTTAGTTCACAAACACTTGTTTTAATGACTAACTACTCCTGACATTTTGGAGATGTTAGCTCTTTATACAGTAAAGTTACAGTGGGATACAAATAATATCAGGCTGATCCTGCCACAATTTGTCCCCCGGTTCAAATCATAGACAAACAGTATCCCACAGCTGTTTATGTTTTTAAACCCATTTTGCACAGAGAGGCATTTTTTGAAAAATGTATTGATAGCAATGTTGAATATTATTACACAGGAAAAAAACAACTACAATACTAAAATAATTACACCGTGACGCCTCTGCCTTTCTAAATGGAGGGACAGTAACTGCGTGTGTATATGTAAGCGTTTAAAAACTGAAGCTAGTCAGATTAACAGTATTTTGTCTCTATCTGCCATTCTGCAATTCATCTCATGTAAACAATAACGTGGCGCACAGCGTGACTTGAAAAAAGGCACATACCTTTGACGTTGCGTGATGAACTCTGTATTCCTCGTCCACACGTAAATGCAAAAAAGGATTTTTAAAAAATCTCAGTTTTCGGTGATTCGAAACGCCGTTTACGTGTGAACAAAACACCATTTACGTGTGAACGAAACGGCTGCGTTTTCAAAAATACCCATGTAGGTGCGGATGTAGCATAAAAGAGTTGGTAGTTTATTTTATTGCTACCTGTAATTTATTGCAGTTTACTTGTATTTGCTTAATTGTTTACGAAATGTTTGAGGTGTGAAATAAACCGCAATGGTGCAAAATATGGGTGTGTGTGGTTGGAGGATGTGTTTGTGCATTTTTCTTGTAAAACAAAGGGGGGCCTAGCAAAAAAAGTTTGGGAACCACTGGACTAATGGAAGATTGGAACAACGGATGAAATGATTACTAATTGTGGCTCAGTGATACATTTTTTTATATAATTGATTTGGATGTAAAAAAGTGATCTACATTTATGTGAAAAAGAAAGGATACACTTTCATTTGTAAAGTTTTGTGCATCAGGACATAATAAAAAAATCAATGGGTCGTAAAATTAGCTAAATAAAACCTCAGATGGGCAAAACATGTTCATCTGATATTCAATTAAATTTTATTTATACGGCGCCAAATCACAACAAAAGTCGCCTCAAGGCACTTATATGATATGACATTGAACACATGTTATATTACACTGTTTTTTTTTTTGTTGTTGTTTTTTTAAACTAAGCAAAAATGCAGAAGCAGTGTGTGAAAAACTAACTACACTGCAACCAAGGTCAGACTATGAAATCCTCAGAAATTTCAAAAAACAAACAAACCAAGAGCTACATCTCAGATTCTGAGTATGTTAAAGTTCATGACCAGACAATTAGACGAAGACAAAATAAGTATGACCCGTTTGAAAGAGATACCAGGACAAAGCTTCCTTTCTCTTAAAACAAAACAAAACAAATAAATATTGCGGCTCAGATTAGATTTGCACATTTACATCTGAAACCACGAGTCTTATGAAACAATGTCATTGGGATAGACAAGAGTAAAGTAGAGATGTTGGACCATAATACACAGCACCAAATGAAAACCAAATGCAGCATATGAGCACAAAGAACTGCGTAGCACAGTGGTGGAGGGGTGATGATTTGGGCTTGTCTTCTAGCAACAGAACCTGAGCATCTCGGGCTCATTGAGGTGACCACTGTATACCAAAGTATTCTAGGGTCATCTTTCCAAAAAATAAAGCTTGGTTGAAACTGGGTCATTTAACACGATATTGATCCCAAGCATGGCAGCAGATCTACAATCAGATGACAAAAAAAGGAAACAAATCAAAGTGTTGGAAGGGTCCAGTCAAAGTTCAGACCTCAGCCTGATTGAAATGCTGAAAGTTGGCTCTAAAATCGGAGTAGACAGTGCTTCTGCATTTTGCCTTAGTTTTTGTTAAACAAATAAGGGCATGGTGTAATATGTCATAATATGTGTGTAGTTTGTCATTTGGGGATTTAGTTACCCAGCATGTTGTGGAATGTAAACCATGTGGCTCTCCAGCAAACTGATTTAAGGTCACATTTGTCAGATTCCAAAACATGTGGAAAGCTAACTGCTCTGGGTTACTTAGGGTTTTCATTCCCCTCCCTCTACAGGTGATAGTGCCTCTTCCTTCCTGGGATATGAAGACCAAGGAGCCGCTGACATCTGATCCAGAAAAGTACGCCATAGAGACCGAACTGATCTTCAAATACTCACCTTTTAAAAATGAAAAGCAGCTGATGGAGCAGTTCAACAAAATAGAAGGCAACAGCGGTAAGCATTTAAATGTGCATCACTATGTGAAGAGCTGACAAATTGACATGTTGTTACTTACTTTTGGTGTGGTATTTTATATTATCTATAGGAACGCTAGTGATAATCTATAATTTGAAGCTGATGGACAATGGAGAACCAGAGCTGGATGTAGAGACAGACCACCAGGACATACTGATGGCTGGGACACCTGCTGAAGGAGTGTAAGTACAGTTGTTACTGTTAGTTATGATGCCATTATTATTGTGGCTCACAGATACGATTTTGGTGGTTTTTACTTCAGTATCAGAAACCAGTTTAAAATTTCATCAAATGTCCAGCTGGAACTCAAACTTAATGGTGATCAAATTTCAAAATCAAAATGTTTGTAATAACTTCACTTCACAAATAATTGCTGATTGTGCTGGGGGATGTTGTTTATCTACAGGGGATAGCAAGGGATCTCTATGGCATTAGCATATGAATTTATAATATTAATTTAAAATATTAAGTTGAGTTGGGTATCTTTCTTGGCAAGCTAATAGTGATTCAGCTTAATATTGATCATTTATCATTGTTTAAAGGTAGAGCCCTGCAAGTTGACTAGTTGGAGGAGGCAGAAAACCACAAAGTAAAAATAGTTTGATGACAGCATGTCTAATGCACCACTTCTTGTTCACAGGAAGCCAGAGAGAAGATCGTTCAGGGCATACGCTGCTGTTTTGTACATTGACCCACGCATGAGGATTTTTATCCAGGGTCATAAAGTCAGGACTAAGAGACTTTCGTGCTGTCTTTATAAACCAAGGTAATACAGTAACACACATATGGACTCTCAGTAACTTGTTTATTCCAGTGTTCACACTTTGATTGGACTTACTGTTTTATTTAAAGGTGTTATAAATACTCATCAACTCGGTTCAAGACCCGTGCTGAGCAAGAAGTGAAGAAAGCTGATCATCTTGCAAAGATTGGTGAGATAGTGGGTTATTAATCCTGCTAATTAAAGTTTGCTTTAGCTTTAGATCATGTGAGAATCATATGTGGTGTATATTTCAGCGGAGGAGAAGGCCAGAGAGGCAGAGAGTAAACGCATGGCTTTGGAGGCCAGATTAGGAGAGGACCTATCAAAAGACTCACGGGTAAGCTAAGGAAAACCTTTGGTAAATTGTCAAGTGCAGATGTGTAGTGTTTATGTAAAACGGGTTTTGGGCAAAGCAAGTTTAGTTGTATAGCAACAGTTAATGACATACACATCAAAGTGTTTTACATATGTCAAATTATTAAAGAAACAGGGAAATTTAATAAAAGGTGTACTTTGACATGATTCAGTGGTTGATTCACAACCAAAAAACAATGACATTAAATTTCTTCTTTGTCTCCCTCCTTTTACTCCATCAGGCAATTTTGAGAAAAGTTCAAGATGCAGCCATGATGCTGCGAAGGGATGCTGACATGAAAAAAAGGATTCTTGAAGCCAAACAAAAGTATGATTAACAAAAATGGCAAACTTTATAGATTGTAGGCTGTTAAAATTCTGTTCCTTTGTTTGGCTGGAAATGTATATTAAAAAATGCCTCAAAATAAGATTTGTGCATTAATTTTGTTTGCCGACCAAATTATTTGGCATCTAAATTTTATGTAAATGTATTTCTTACCAATCTACGTTTCTTCCTTGTTCTTCAGAGCATTAAAGGAGCCCAAGGAGCTGAATTTTATATTTGGAGTGAACATTGAACAGAGGGACCTGGATGGGATGTTTGTGTACAACTGCTCTCGTCTCATTAAGATGTATGAAAAGACTGGTCCTCAACTGGAGGGAGGCATGTAAGTAAAATGCACTAAAAGTGAAAAATGGCAGGAAATGAGCAAGTGATTAAGTTGTAATTTTAAACTATTTGGTTCATGTGTCTTAGGGCATGTGGTGGTGTAGTTGGAGTAGTGGATGTCCCATATTTAGTTCTAGAGCCTACTCACAACAAACAAGATTTTGCGGATGCTAAAGAGTATCGACATTTACTAAAATCCATGGGGGAGCATCTGGCTCAGTACTGGAAGGACACAAACATTGGTAAGCTTCCCTGAAGTTGCTGGATTCCTGTTTATTGCTGCACCTCAAATTACAAGTGAAAATACCCCCCATACTCCTGAGAGTTTTAAGCATGTTCTATGATTGATACATTATCCTGCTAGAGTGTTAGACAATTCAGATACAGTTGTAATCACCATTATTGATCTACCAGCTGCTGGAGCTTTAAGGTGATATTGCCTGTGATATTGGATCGAGAAATGTTTGAGTCAGAGGTGAAGCATAAGTTTCATTTTAGCTGTATTAAGGGTTCCTTCCCTAAATAAAAATACAGCTTTGGGTCAACTTATTTTAATTATAGCAAATGACTTGCAACTGTATCAACTGATCTCACATCTGCATCTGTGTTTGTCATACAGCACAGAAAGGCATAGTGAAGTTCTGGGATGAGTTTGGATATCTGTCTGCCAGCTGGTCTGCACCTCCATCATCAGAGTTGAGATACAAGAGACGCCGTGCCATGGAGATACCACTTACTATTCAGTGTGGTAAATTGAGCACACACATTTAGAGGACATGCAGTATCTCAGCTTCCTGCAGAAAACTCACTCGCTGATTATGCTTTTTCTTCTTCTTTTTTTAAGATAAATGTTTAAAGTGGAGAACGCTGCCTTTCCAGATGGATGCAGTGGACAAACGCTACCCAGACAGTTGGGTGTGTCTCATGAACCCTGACAGCACTCAGGACAGGTACTGACACAATGAGCTTTTTCAGATAACTTCATTTTCTTATCTTATCTCACTAAGCAAAATGGTTATCAAGTTTCTAATTAAACTTATTGGTTATTTTTGATTGCTAAAAAACTGTTTTTAGTATAATTTAGACCAGAGTTATAATGAAATTATACAACTGAATTGTTACTTTATTCAGAAGCAGCAGGAATATTTACAGCAGCACAGTGATGATATGATCTTAGCAACTAAAATAAATAAAGCTGACATTAAACTACTGACCGGCCTTTAAGGTGTCGCGGATAAATACAACAAAATAAAACTAGTACCGGTACCGAAAAAAAGAAGATTTATTCATAACACACGTGAAAAGACCCAGGAAAACAGAGTTAACAATAACAAAATAACACTGAAAACCGATAAAAACCCTAAAAACCATACAGTTCACACCTGAGTAAACCTGAATAATTTCGGATATATTGGGTATAAAATTGACTCCGACTCCACATATCGCTATATTTGGCAAACCACCAAATAACCTTCATACTACAGCTATTCAAAATAACCTTATTGCCTTTGCTTCTCTCATTGCTAGAAAAAGAATTTTGTTGTTGTGGAAATCATCTCAGCCACCATTAATTAAAGTCTGGCTACAGGATATCTTAGGACTCTTAAAACTGGAGAAGATAAAATTCTCCATCAGAGGCTCATCAGATAGATTTTTTTTTTTTTTTTTTTTACTCACCAGTTACCAGCACGAGAAATCTCTCTGTAGTCCACCATATGACAGTGTACAAATTTTTCTGCTATTCCCAGCAGTGGCTGTTCTACCTTGTAAGAATACTTTATTTAAAAATATTCCAGCATTATTAGTTTGTTTCGACCAAGGAGCAAGTACTTATTAATATTAATATTGTTAATATTGGTTAAGATTTATATCAATATTGATTAATGTTAAGACTTTGTTTTTTGAGGCTAGCAGATGTTGATGTTAAACTATAAGGATATGTACCACTATGTTATTGTTGAATTTTTATTTTTTTATTATTATTTTTTTCCTATTTATTTATTTATTGTTTGGGTTTTGCATTTTTTGTATGGGTCAATTCATTTTCTCTGTAACATACTCATTTTTACATTATTGGGAGGGAGTGGGGGGTATTCAGGTACTCATCCCATTTATGTTTTTTTGTTTTTTTTTTTGTATGTTATAAAAAAAGAAAAAGATTATTACCTCTATGTGTTTTATGACAGTTTGGTATTGAAAAATAAAAGAAAGAATAAGAAATTGATGATACTTGGCAAATACAACTAAAGTCCGTTACACACTAAATGCGTTGCGAAAAAGCGACACAAATTCCTAATTTTACGGATCCGAACGTATATACACACTGAATGTGTTGCATTTTTGTGGAAAATTTGCCCTAAAAAAGGAATTTGGAGAAAGAAAGAAAAAAAATTAAGTCGTTATGAAGCAATGATGAGCTGGTCCTGATGTTCCTAAATAGAGATTCTGGGTTCATTCAGTTCTCATGACAAAGCAGCAGCAGGAAGAATATGATGGTTTGATCTGGGAGTGGAAGCTATATTGTGGCTTTCATACATGTGTAAAAGGATGTTAGTGGGGCAATTTGACCTTTATGTTAGCAGACCACATCTGAGGAGGTAAAAAAATAAATTCAGAGAGCTGATTGACCCCCAGAGCAGCATCTTGCTCTCAGAGGTGAAATTATTATTGTAATTATTATTTACATATCATTGTAGATTCAGTACCAGTGCGCTTGATACCAAATGCAGTGATCGGATTCAGTGCTCTATTCATTCGGATTAGAAAAATCGAGCTTGATTCGGGAAAAAAAATGCCACAAATTCGTCCAGTGAAAAATAGGTGAATCTGAAAAATATTTTAAACACACAAAATGTTCAGAGGGATTTTATCTGTTACCCTACAAGCACACGGGGTTTTTTTTTGGTTTTTTTTGGGGGGGGAGTGGGGGTGGGGGGGTTGTTAAATAGCTTGTTTGTAACACTGTTCATATCATCATATCGTTCATGTCAGCTCATCAACTGTGCCATAGTTGAAGGTACTGGTGTCTGATGGTATCCTCCAAATAGCCAATGTTATAAATGACACTTCAGTTATAAGTGTAAATACAGCAAATCTTAATTGAACTTTGCCACAGGTGCCTCTTGTGCCTACAGATGAGGTTGTTGTGCAATCACAAATGTGACCAAAATGTCAGGGTATATTTAGCATACCACTTTATTTTTCCTCTCTCAGTTTTTCTAGTGATAAGAAAAACCCTATGCACTGATAGTGCTTAAGAGGAGTTAAAATCCAACCGGAAGTTGGAGATTCTGCAGCAATAAACAAAAAACAACAAAAGAACTTTGAATAATGTATTAGCTGAAGTGCTTATGCCATGAGAAAGTACCTACTAGTGTGGTAATATATTTTGTATGTTCTATATAAATTGTTCACATATTGTTATATATTGTTTGGAAATTGTTTTCAGATGTGACGCTCCTGAACAGAAACAGAATCTCCCATCTGGTGTTTTGAAGAAAGATAAGCCAACAGCTGAAGACAAACAAAAAGAGATAGCAGAGAAAATCAAACAGCAGCAGGAGAAGCTGGAGGCCTTGCAGGTATCCTGTCCAACTCTTGCTGTCTGTGTTTCTGTGTCTGTGTTTGGTTTGTTTTTTGTTTTTTAAATCTCTCTGTTTTGTGTCTATCACCACAGTATATGTATATTCTGTTTGTTTCCTGCCAGAAAACCAGCACCATCAAATCTGCGGCAGATGTAAGAAAGCTCCCATTGGAGGTTAGCATGAAACCAACAGAGAGTTCGTCTCAGGTAAAAACAAACAAAAAAGTCCCTGTACTGTCTTCTTGTCTTTTTCTACTAGTTAACTCTCGGCATATCGTATTTCTGATTTTAATATCACTGCACGTATGAGGAAAAACAGGAAAACTATCAAAGTAGTTGAATGAGATTTGCTATTAAAGAAAAAATTTAATCATTAGAAAATGATAAAAGAAGAAACTTCTATTCTATTGTATTCTATTCTCTATTTATTTATTTATTTATTTTATTTTTTTTTAACATCACAGGTACATTATATCCAGAAAGTATTCATAGCACCTCACGTATTCCACATTTTGTCGTGTTATAGACTTATTCCAAAATGGCCTCAAAATTCTACTCACAATAACCCATAAATACAACGTGAAAAAAGTAAATATTTACAGACTTTGGTTATTGTCTTGTTGAAGCACCTTTGGCAGTAATTACAGCCATAAGACTTTTTGAGTTTGATGCTTCAAGCTTAGCACTTCTATTTTTAGGGAGTTTTTTTTTTTCCATTTTTCTTTGTATAACCTCTCAAGCTCCATCAGGTTGGATGGGGAGCATCAGTACACAGGTATTTTCAGATCCTTTCAGAGATGTTCAATATAGTTTAAATCTGAGCTCTGTCTGGGCCACTCAAGGACATTCACAGAGTGGTCCTGGAGCCTCTGCTTTGTTAGCTTAGTTGTGTGTTTAGAGCCGTTGTCCTGTTGGAAGATGAACCTTCGCCCCAGTCCGAGGTCCAGAGCTCTCTGGAGCAGGTTATCCTCAAGGATTTCTTTTATGTCACTGCATTCCCAAGACTCTGACTCATCTCCGATTTTCTTCTGCCAAAAAATATCCACACAGCATGATGCTGCCATCACCACGATTCACTGTAGGGATGGTACTGGCCATCCATACAGCAGTTCCTGGTTTCCTCCTGACATGACACTTGGTATTCAGACCAAAGAGTTCAATCCTTGGTACAGATTTATTTTTGAATTTTGTTTTTCATCGTCTAACAGACCTTCAGATGTCTTTTGGTAAACTCCAATCAATTTTAGAATAAGACTGTAACATGACAAAATGTAGAACAAGTGGAATGCTGGGAGTACTCTCTGGGTGAGCTGTATGTTTCCTTTTCTATGTAAATATGAACTGAAAATGTAAAAAAGGAGTTTTGTATGTTCAGTCTTAAACAATTTAATTGCACTGTAAAAGGGTCACACTAAAGACAAACACTGCTGTTGATAGTGATCCTTTTTTTACTTTTTTTTCCCCCTCTTTGTTCAAATGTATTCATTATCACACTCAAATACTAGTTTTGTGTCCTTTCACGTTAACAATTCAGGCAACTAGGTCTTCTGAAAGGTCTGTTGCACGCCCACGCTCCCCACCACTCCCAGCTCATCTCAAAAATGCCCCAAGTGCCCCACCAGGACGTAGTGCTTCTCAGCGGCCCACCCGAACATCAGCCATACCACCAACTCCACCAAAGGTTGAGCCATTCAGGTCCAGAGCTGCAGCAAAACCTCCTCCATCTGCAGCAAAACCTGTTCCCAAAGCTACTGCCAAAACACCTCCACCCAGCCGCAGCTCACGGGTACGTTACAGGTTTGATTTAAGAAAAGGTTTTGTTGTAAAAGTATTTCATATGGCTTCATGTACAAATCCTACCATAAAGCATTGTAAAATACTGAAAGCTGTCTCCTCATATAGGCATCCGCCAAAGCTTCACCTGCCAAACCAGCAGCTGCTGGACAGCGCAAGAGAATAATAGAGCAGGAGGAGAGTGAGGAAGAAGAAGAAGAAGAGGAGGAGGAGGAGGAAGAAGAAGAAGAAGGCAGCGAGGAGAGTGAAGAAGAACCACAGACAAAAAAATCCAAGATGGCTGCAGTTGCCACTAACCGTGGCAAAGTCGTAGAGAAGGCCCCACCTCCCAAACGTGGAAAGTTGGATGAGGTAAAGAACAGAGGCAAAAACTGTAGTGCAGATTTGTAACTGCTGAAAATGTATTACAGCTCTGAAAAACAACTGCACATCAAAACAAGATGATTAACCTTGGGTGTGAAATGAGAGCACTAGTAATTCTGCACAAATCTTAATCCTGCGTGTTCAGCGTGCAGCTTGCTTAAAGGACTTTTGCTTTTGCTCGCATTTTCCCGCTTTTGCTTTATGAGAAATAAATTTCAGGATGTGGATAAGGTAATGACTGGACTAGGAAGTGATTGTATGCTCAACATTATTATGATATCTGCATTAATTCAGGTAAAGTCTGTCAGTTTTAAATTAATTAGCTGCTTATTGGAGCAAAGCTTTACTCGTACTGCTCGCTTACTTTATGGTGTCTGAACACAGTAGCTGCAATTAAAGTATCTTAGACTTCTGCTTAAGACACTGAGTGAACATGGACATACCTGGGTGGTCCATCAGGTTGCTGAACCTCCGATCAGAACCCCTGTGCTATTGACCTTGCAGGTTAAAACACACTCTCAACTTGAGAAGAAAGGAGTGTCTGCCCCTACACGGCAGGCACCAACAACACCATCCTCTGCCCCTAAATCCGTTTCTACACACGGGGCTAAAGAAAAGGTAGCTTTATTGGGTCCCTCTCTCTTCTACTGTCGAATCAAGCTGGGCTGCCTGCTGCTCTCACAACTTCTAACAATCAACACTTACTTTTTCAGCTCATATACATATATAGTGTAGTGATAGATTAACGGTTCTTTCAAAACAAAACCAATCATTTTATTAATATATAACAGTTTCTTTATAACCAAGCATGCCATTCATTTCAACCTCTAACTAAGTTGTTGAAGACTGTATCTAACCCGACTGCCTTTTCAGTGATTTCTTAAACTGTTGTGGTCATATTTTGTTTGTATTTTTACAGGCACCTGATAAAGCTCTACAACAGGAACCAGAAAACGACACTAAAAATGCTCAGAAAGGTGAGATGATGGTCCACTCTCTACTGATGTGAATCAAATACAGAACTGGAAAATGAGTATTTTCTTCTCCAGATAAGGGTCTGCTGGTCGAAGTACGTGTCAATAAGGAGTGGTATACGGGCAAAGTCATCGCCGTTGAGGCGAATAAACAAAGTGTTCGCTGGAAAGTTAAATTTGACTACGTACCTCGGTCCACCCCTAAAGATCGATGGTAAGATACAGTCTGTGTGAATGTTGCTTTCTGAACATGTTTTTGATGACATGGCAGGTGATTCAAATCTTATACATGTATGTATCTCTCTGTAAAGGGTATTTAAGGGTAGTGATGAAGTCCGGCTGATGCGACCACCATCTCCAATCTCTCAGACACCTGACACCCAGCAGGAGACCGAGAAGGGTCCGGCACCCATGGAGCCAGACACTACTCAGCCAGGAACCAGCCGAGAGGTGACTGACAGCCTGGTCACCATGTTGAGGTGAGCTGGTTACAGTGGTTACAATGTTGTTATCATTCTTTAAGAGTCTTGTAACTCTCATAACTGCTGTGTGTTTACTGTGCTCTTGATGTTTCTAGAACAATGCTGCGTTACTTCTTTCCTCCTGCTTTTCGGATCCCAAAGGACGATGTTAATAGCATGACAGCCGAGGAGCTGGTTGCCTTTCCTTTGGTGAGATAATAAAAGCTTCTTCTATCTTGTGACGGATAAGCAAAAGCAGAATGCTAAATTTAAGCAGAAAGATGCAAGAAAAAGAAGCTTAAATAGCACAGCAAAAAGAAATATGAATGTGAATGTTGTCTGTTTCTGTATTCACCATGCCTCTCGCCCTATGGCAGCTGGGATCATGTACTTGTTGTATCAGTCTTGCATGAAGAAGAAAGAGTGAAAGTAGAACTGAATTTACTGGTTGATCTGTTCCCACAAAGTTTCAAATTGATGGAGGTCACTGTAAATGAATTGACCATCTTTGGGAACCCAAAATGTCTGCTCAGTCTACTTACCTACCACCGTTTTTGACACTTGAGCCAGACTTTTTCACACCTCATCAGTGTCCACAAGTCTGATGGAAAAATTAGATTGTAGTGAAAATGATCTTCCGCTGCAGTGTGCAGGGTTCCGCTGCAGCTTGGGAATGCCTCTGTGTTTCACAAGACCAGCTGGAGGAGTTGGCCAGGGAGTTAAGGCTGGTCATCTCTGCTTAGTTTGCTGGATAAGTGCCAGAAACTAGATGGATAATAGTTTGATATTTTAGTGTGAGATGAAACTAGATGGAAAAAAAAACTTGTTAAATAACTATCTAGTTATTTAACAATGGCAATAGTGCACACATTAACGTGAAGATGTTAACTGCTGTGTTTTCTTGCCAATTCTGTTGAATTCTCCCACTGATTTGTTTTTGTTTTTTTCCTCCTGCATATAGAAAGAGTATTTCCAGCAGTATGAATCGGGCCTGCAGTCATTGTGTAATTCATACCAGAGCAGAGCTGATGCTAGGGCCAAAGCTGTGGAGGAGAAAAACAACAACACTGAGCTCAAACTAAAGGAGGCAGACGAGAAATTACAGAAACTCCGAACAAACATTGTGGCCCTTCTGCAGAAAGTACAAGAGGTAACACTTCTTAATCTGTGCTCCTCATTATGTGCACATTGTTGATAAACCCCCCCTTTGCAGAAAGTGAGTGATTATCGTGCCTTTTTTCCTCCCACAGGATATTGACATAAACACAGATGATGAACTTGATGCTTACATAGAAGACCTCCTTACAAAGGGTGATTAAAGAAAACCAAAATCAAATGAAAGATGTGAACATTAACAAACTGGTCATCATTTCAAGTCTCCATGGACCCACTCTCATGTGTGAATATTTGGGGTTTGTTTTCATTAATCCCTCCATGTGTTGAATCAGTTTGTAACCGGTTTGTATTTTTAGGTTCTCACTGTCGATTGCCTCTGGGCCTGTGGTTTTATTTTGTCCCTTTTTATTACCCTCTTACATCTGTTAATCTATGTTTAAAACATGCTATCCTGGTTGAGCTGTTAAATAATTTGTATGTTTATTGCGGCGTATGCTCTTTTATATAGTCAACTGTTGTTGTGACAAACTACATTTCTTCATTTTGGTCCATTGTCAGGTGAGATTTTCACACTAAAGACTTGGGCTTAACTCGTCTCTGTTCTATATTGCAGCCTGTAGTTAAACAGTTATTTTTATTTTTGCACACTAAAAACACATCAGTGTTCTCCAACCTGGACAGAAAACCGGGTTCATCTTTTATGTTTGGGAGATATTCCCCTTCCATAAACAGGAGCTACATACTGGGTTATATCAGTACATTTATTATTCCTTTAAATTCATTCTTCATTTAACCTTTGACTGTTCTGTTTTCATTTTGGGAAGAAAAAAAAAAAAGGTTAACTGCTGAATTGTTTAATAATTATTCAGTGCCTCTGTCCTTCTTTTTGAACAGATTTTTAACCCATCATGGAAATGTTTTATTAAACGGTGCATGCTTTCAGTCTTTATGTTCTCGTTGGAACAAAGGATACTGTATTTTTGACAAACCTTTACTTGGAACAATAAAACTGGTTCAGCAACACATTATGTTGGTCAGTATGTGGTGTATAATAAAGTATTTGTTCTGGGAAATTTTACATTTGGGCTTAAGTAAATTATAGTGTTACAGGAAGGGATTTCTGTAGCCATGACAGTAAATATTGTTGAATTTAGTTTTGTTGGTGGTGCTTAGAGCGCTGTGTTCTGTGGATTATCTTTACAAACAATTCATTTTCAATCCGTTTTTTCTACTCTTGGATCTATTTTATATAAATGAGACATGAAACACAAGGTTTAAACGGCAGAACATTCTTACAGGGATTCTTACAAGTCTGTCCAGCTTCACAGTGGAAGGTAACCTGACTGGATGCACAATCTCTTAGTATGTTGTGGAAGCTGCTTAGCTAATAGTACACACAACAGAGTCCAGGTATCCACCAGTTTCTACCGTCGGCTTTTACTGAAGGCTCAGATGATTCATAAGAACACTTCCTACTAAAATCTTTCCTTTCCTGCCATCTGCTAGGAGGTCCAGAAGCTAGCGTTCATGAACTATATCAGGTTCATTGGCTTTAAAAAAAAATTAACAATGAATGTAAACACTTTTTTTTGTTTATTTTGAGTCATCTCGTCAACGCAGTTACAAAAAAAACATAACTAAAAGGGATGTTTTATATTTATTTATATAAACATTATATCATACCTGATATTTTATTCTTTGTATACACTATAGATCCTTGATAGAAGTGTTTGTCACCTGTGTGTTTGCGTGCTGTTTTAGCCGCTGCTGTAGCAGCAGGAGGTGCTAGTTGAACCTTAAACGAGGAGAGACCTTTATTTTGAAGGCGAAACTTAAGTTGCCGCCGTGAACGTGAACGCAGCTGGGAAAACGTTTGGTAAGATGACTGCTAGCAGCTATATCTTTGATACTGAGGAAGCTTTTAAGTTTCATTTGAAACTAATTCAGCGTTGTCTGTGTAAGTTTGCCCGTGAATAAAGCGCTCACAACTTTGTTGAACGTCATTGCTAACTGCTGTGTTGTTGTCGGGTTGGAGTGTGAAGAGTACGCGTTATGACAAAGGGTTTCAAGAAGAGGATAGCAAGTATATGCCTCTGTTTAATATTTAAATATATTTAAATAATATAAAGGAAACCCTCGAATACAAGCGGTAAGATAATATCTGCACAAAGGCAACGACGCAACCAGATGAACTTTGACCCATTTCTTTGGTTGTCAGTCTTCTCCATGGTCTGCAAGCCAGCTAGATAAATTTACATAAAGAAATAAGTATCAGCAATGGAGAAACAAAGAAGCTAATCCTATCCGGAATCAGTAAAAATGCGCCTGTTTTCTGAGTAATAAATAAAAACCAAATATACAGAAATTGCTTTCAGCTGAATGCACCTCCCTGTTCTGCCCCCGGGAGGACCAGCGGTGGTGCTAAAGGGCACTGGGGTGGCATTGCCCAGAGGGTGCCGTTGTCCTCTTTAATACTTCAATACAACTTGTCCTTGCCATTAGTTTATTGCTTCAAAGCAACTGTTTGATCTTAAATATTATTACATCCCGTGAATGCTACTGGTTTACATATTAATGGAAAATAATGATTTAATTTGAAAGATGGACTTCCCCTCTTGTACTTCACATTGGTTTGGTCCACTACTGTCGCTTACTTTGCAAACTCTAAACAAAGGATGTGTGAGACCCCCTTATTTATATCTAAAAATGACACCCATTAACAGTTTTATCCAGATTCATTTTTATTGGCTTGTTACCTTACTTCTTGTGCTTCAGTGTGGCTTGTATTTTGTTATTACTGTATTTCCAGATCGATGTCTATGGAGCAGGAGGTCTGTGCAAATTAAAATGATTATAACTCACTTCTTTTCCCCTGATCCCAACTAGTTGTTGGACGCCACTCACCAGCCCCGTGCCACCCCATTTAAAAAAAAACTGAAGCATTCCTGCCTTTATCTAAATGTCACTTGTCCCTGCTCTAATGGCATTGTGTTGACTCCCTAGTCAGACCTCAGACTGAAGGTATTGGGCCATGTCAGTTTCGTCAGCCCTCCTGAGCCGACGTGTAGCCGGAGGCTCCTGTAGGTTGTGGTGTGTTATTCCTTCACCTCGACCACTGATCCACGTCAGATCAGCTTCTGTAGCTGAGCCAGGCAGAAGAAGATCCAATGAAGAACAGCTGTGCGAGGCAGCAGGCTACCTGCCGTTCACCCGAGCCAGGATAGGGCCTTTCTTTCAGGAAAACCCAGTGCTGAAGAACCCATTTGTAGAAGATGCCTTGCTCAGAGGATATCTGAAGAGACACATACCCCAGGAGGTGAGCAGGGATTACATGTTTTTCTCAAGAAAGGGTGTCATACTACCAGTTTTAGAGCAAAAGCAACAGGCCCATTAAATAACAATGTCCATATTAGGTGTATATTACTATATTATAATGTGTTTTTTTTTGTTGTTGTTTTTTAATGTGCTCATAACTTGTTTTCTTTTTGAAAGAAGTGTTGGGTATATGCACAGTGTTACATATGTAATGCATATTTTTCCTTAAGTTTTGTTGCACCAGCACGAATTCATTTTATAAAAAGCAATAAGAGTTTGACTTTGGTCTTTGTTACTATTAAAAAGCCAGGGAGGAGCTGTCCTATCAGGTAAACAGGCTGAGATCTGTTTCATAAGGTCTGCGATATATTGTGTGTAATAATAAGCACCTTTAAAGACCCTCAAGATCACCATACATTAGTACAAAATTTATATATATATGTATGTATATATGTGTGTGTATGTGTGTGTGTGAATAGTATGTGTATAAATTTGTCTACAGGCAATTCTCTCAGACTTGTGTGCATTTGGAGAACACATGGCAAAGGAGGTGGATGGCTGGGGTAGAGAGTGTGAGGTCAATCCTCCACGGTTGGTGCACTTTGATCCCTGGGGTCGCCGAGTGGACCACATTGTGACCTCCCATGCTTGGAAACGCATGAAAGACCTGTCAGCGCAGGAAGGACTCGTTGCCATTGGCTATGAGAGGTCATTTGGCGAGTGGAGGTTAGAAGGCTGTTGCACTTCCTTTTTTCGGTTTAGCTCATGTGTCTTATTTCACTTCAGTAACGTGTTTTTGTCATCTTCCAAAAAGTGTATGTATGTGTTTCCTAGTCGTGTGTACCAGATGAGCAAGCTGTACCTTTTCTCTCCCTCATCTGGCCTCTACACCTGTCCTCTTGCTATGACCGACGGAGCAGCAAAAGTTATCCAGGTGTGTTTAAAGAAGTGAATAACATGACTAATACAGTGTCCTGTAAGCCAAACTGATTAGAACAACAGAACTAGTAATGGGATTAACCTCCAATCATTTAAAACTGAATTAAGTGAAGAATATTGTAGCCAATGTAGTTTAAAACATTGGCATTTTAAGAATATAAATTCATTGTCCTCCCATCCGTCAAACGCTACAGACAGTTTCATGCTGAGACTAAAGGCTCAGAGACAGTTTCATCTCAAAAGTTATACAAGCATTTAATCAGTCCATCAAGTCACCCCAGTAAAATTGTTTTAACTGGCTGAGGAACCACATAATCATAGCCATATTGGGAACAGTTTGCACTATATGCATTTTGCACCCTATTTCCTTTTATATTGTATTTTTGTATTATCTTTTATTGTGTTATTTATTTCTTTTATAGGGAGATTATGTTTTTGCTGTTTATTTTCCTGTTTGTGTTAAGGAGAATTTCCCTTCCAATCAGTTTGCACAGTGTACGTTGATAATATTAATAAAAAAAATGTAAAATATGCCAGCTTTTGTTTAAAACAGCAGCATGTACTTGAAGGAAGTGTATATTAGATTGATGAGCAACTGAATAAAACTCTATATTTTGCAGTAATGGCTGTATAGTAGTGAATGTACACATATTTTTGACTTGCTTGACCCCAGTTCTGTTTTTCCTTGTAAGCACAGTGAATGATTGTTTGGATTTGTGTATGAGAAGTCCTTAGGTGTTTCGTGGCCAGTAGAAGACGCCTACAGTCGTTTGACCACCCGCCATCCAGAACGCTTCTGGACATCCGGACAATGGATGACAGAGAGGCAGGGAGGCTCTGATGTGGGTAAGTAGTGACACACTGTTTTCTGCATTTATCAGTCCCAGATTCAATCTGTAAATTAAGAGCTGCAGTACAACAGTGTTGTAATTGTGCTTTTCAAAGGATGAGATATCTGTGGAGGGGATTCTTTGTTTGCATACTTTTTTTTCCCGCTTTGTCATGCAGAACAAGAGTAACTGTTGTAATGCTTCATGAGTTGTTTTCATTGTTCTCAGCCAGTGGCACTGAGACGGTGGCTGTTCCACAAACAGATGGTTCCTACAAGCTCCACGGCTTCAAGTGGTTCACGTCTGCTACGGACGCAGACATGACTCTTACGCTGGCCAGAGTGCAGGACAAAACGGGAGCAACCATACCAGTACTGCTGACATCAGTCACAAAACATTGTCAATGACTTGCAGAGTGATATAATTGACTGCTGTTCTCTGTCCCACAGGGTAGCAAAGGTTTGTCTCTCTTCTATGCGGAGGTGAGTCGAGATGAGGAGGGCCAATTGAGGGGTATTGAGGTTCAGCGACTGAAGGACAAGCTGGGGACACGCCAAGTGCCGACTGCTGAGCTGCTGCTGGACGGCCTGCCGGCGCACAGGGTCAGTTACACATGCAGGGTCATTGGATATAACAATTTATTGACAAACTATAGGCTTTGTCCCCTATCTGTGCAGATATGAGCAATTGCTTAAACACACACACACACACACACACACACACAAACAAGTTATGTGCAGCAATGATAAGCAGAACCATTCCTGCATTTGTGTGCTAGGTGGAAAAATTCACAGTGATTTTATTTGCCACTCCTCAGTAACAAAAAAGTACACACTGCTTTGTAAAAACACAAATCAACTTTTGTAGCACTTCTGACTTAACCCACTGAATCCTCAGAAACTTGTTGAGATGTGCAACTCATGAGAGTGCCAGCTGCTGCC